GGTACCAAAGAACAAACAGTAAGTAACTACCTTGTGAACATAGTTGAGCATTTAGCTGCAAAACAGCCAGAGCCATTTCCCTTCAGAGTTGGTTTAGAGCTAAAGAGAGCTAAAAGGAAAGTGAACAGTAGACTATTTATCAGAAATACCTTGCTAAAGCCGCTCTGTGTTTGCTGTCAATGTTGTGTTTACAGCTTGTTCCACTGCTCCCAAGTGGGCAATGCATCAATTACTGCAGCTTTAATTTCAAATTTTCAAGGGGAGATTCTGTCTAAAACTGAACGTACGCTATTTTCTCAAAGACCAATTAGCAGGATATTAACTTTAAAAACAAGGCTCTCGTGAATCCCTTCACTGACATATATTAAAACCAGCCTTGAGATAAAATGTGTGTGAAGGAATGGTAACCACATGCAGCATCAACACGAGCCAAACCAGGAAGTTATTATACAGCTAATTATTGGCATGACCCTGAAAAAGATTAAGGGGCGTGAATGAATACGCAGCAGATGTTTTACATGTGCTCACGAAAATACAACAACATGCCTTTGGCGTTAGACATGAAAGAGATGTAACAAACTCCACGTCCAAGAATTATGAGAAAAGAGAGCCACGCTAAACCTGAAAAGCCAGTTCTGAGGAAGCATAGCTCTGCAGAATGTGCAGGCTTTATCAGTGTTTTCAGTTCATCATCTCAAGTACATTAGGGTTGGCAAGGTGTCAGGGCAAGCCGCGGTGTGTCTTGAGACTCAAATGTCAAAATAAAGAAACATGTCAGTCAAAAACATTATGTAACAAAGTGATCGTGACAGCTGATACATGTTAGACTTAAAGTGTTACCCTTTCTTGACTGAGAAGGACTGGTTTCAGTGGTACTGTGTCCTTTATCCTTCCTATGCCTGTCAAAAAACATCATGAAAACCCACAAAAAAATTCTGTGATTTTGTGGTACGTGGCAAGAATTAATTTAACTGTTCAGTTTTGGCTGCAGATCCAGGTCTGAATTGCGGGGGCAGCAGACTGAGCAGGAGCCGCTCCAACCACATCCTCCAGCTCCTCCAGGGGCATCCTGAGGTGTTTCCAGGCCAGCTGGGATAAGTAATCTCTCCAGCAGGTTCTGGGTCTGCCACGCGGCGTCCTCCCGAGTCAGACATGCCCGAAACACCTCCACAGGGAGGAGTCCTGATCAGATGCTGGAATCACCTCAACTATTTTCTCAATGTTAAATTGAAGCTCCTCTGCTCTGAGCATAAGATAATGGCATACAGTAACTTTCCAGCTAAATCAAATTGCGAAAATGAATGCTGATGCACCTGAAATGTCAATTAGTAGTACCCCAATTCTGGGGAGGAGTAGCTGTACAAATTATATTGGACCCTTTAATAACTTCAAATGTTCACTTTTCTGTCCCAGGAGTTGAGTATGTGAATAAAGTGGTATAAAAACACATAATTGTCCTTTTTGGTAAATGTAAACATATTCAAGAAAAACATCCCTTTGATTCATTTGTATGCAAAATGTTGCAGTTGCTGTCTACTACATGTACTTGTTGCTAGTTGAAAGACAAATTATGCCTTATACAAAATAAAAGTATAAAAGATAAAAGGATCAGTCTAATGGATTTTTTTTTTATATAATAGCAAGCAAATCCCTAAATGAAAAGTCACAAACAACAATGTTTTATATCTCTTATATCTCTGCTTCCAAGCAGAGATGTAAATCTTTTTTTTTTTTAAATAAAAAATCCCACAGTTATATAGTTTAAATAAATAAAAAAAAGGCTAACTAGCTCCCTAAAACAGCTGGGCACTGTAGTTTTTGGCAAATGTTACTCAGACAGAAGTGAAAGCTGCATATGTGGGGACTATTTTCAGCTGTGCATTAATACATGCTAGTGTAGGACACCAGGACAGTGTATGTGGGTGCGACTCAAATCGAACAGTGCCCATGTTCAATGTCATTAAGGGACATGTCACCAAGTGCAACAGGGGGGCTGACTGATGCATCTTTTAATAGTTTTTGTGCAACAATGGAGCTCTATGGGCACCCAGGCAATACTTGTTAGTAGATCCAATGCATTGTTGGTTTTGGTCTTTTCATAAGACTTGTTGACAATTATAAAAATACAGACTAGCATTATAACAGAATAACAATCTGGAATATCACCAGCTTTACCCTTTGAGTCAGCATACAAGAAAACATATGTGACTGTACTTTTTAATGAAGTGTTGGCAGCCACCTGACAATAAGATAAACAGCTTGTGATGTGCAGTTTATACAGCAGTTCCTTAACAGCAGGTCAGCTGTGTGTTAAGCAGGAAACTTTTATCCAACCAGGTTCAGTGTCAGTTTACACAGAATATTAATGTAACTGTGCCATTACCACCAACCATTTACTCTGCCTCAATTCCCTCCACCCTTAATTCCTATTAGAACTTTTTTGTGTTTTGAATTTTAAAGGAAATCCACCTCCTAAATTAGATGAGATGAAACTTTAATTATCCCTGTGGGGGAACTGGGTTATTGCTGCAGCGGGGAATAGGCACAGATAAGAATAGATCAAATATGATGTATTCAAGTTAATGCCACAAATGTACCCAGCAAAGGAACATATTGATTGTTACGTGTAGTTAGAAACTTAAGGGATGTAAATAAAGAAGCAGGGTTTTTTGTGCACTGTTAGATTTCTACATCCTTATATTTATACCTCATAAAGTCATAGATTTTCTAATTTTCTAAATTAGGCTCCTGGGTGGAGAAAGTATATTACCATAAATGCACAAAACTGACTGATGAATGTACCCATAATCAACATATGCTAATAGCAAGGGAGCCCAACAAAGCCCCTGTGATGTCCGAAACTGCACCTGCACGCATGTTGAAAGTGATATGTCCATTTAATTTATCAAGGTGAACAAGTTTCTCTCCAGTGACAAGCGATCCAGCCTTAAAGCCCTGCTTGGTGACTGTAGAGAGTCCCAGATAATTCCGTGAATAATTTATGAAACAATGTCAGTGCTTCTTCATAATGACTTCAAATGGACATCAGCCAAGCGTTAAATGACAGGGATTAATCTACTTTAGAAATAATAGTCCTAATGGAATATTGAATCCTCCGGGACACAGCCCAACTTGAGAGCCAACTGTGACACATTGCCTCTACCCTCAGTGTGCAGTGACCCCAAAAACACACTATTAAAAGTTCAGAGTGTTCAGAAGTTCACTGCTTTTATTCGGTCTGTGCTGCGGCAGTATTTTTCAAAAGGGACCTGGCTGCGTGACCCCAGAATTGCCTTGGGATTTCTTCCAAAAGTGAAGACAGGTAAAGCCAAGGTAAGCAGGTCAATTAACCCCTTTAAAATGCATAACCACATAAAGTAAAGTTGCTATAGATGCAGCAGAAGTTGGCTTAATGACACTGGTGCAGTGGCACATTAGATAATCGATTAAAGTCCTGCAGAAAACATGTTACCCACTGAGTTAATCATGCCAAGCATCACTCTCAATATGAGATGGACTGTACATTTTAGCAAAGATGTTAAAGGGGAATCAGTCTCCTCATCCAACTCTTAAACCAATGCTATAAATTAAAAATAACTTCATGAGTAGCTATATTGTTTGACTGGTTGTACCACACCTCCCTAAACAAATCTAAACGCCACTTCTCAAACACATCTCTGTAAGCAGTCACAGATGGTTGCCTGGCAACCTCACCATGACGACAAGCCTCCAGGAAGTCACTGTGCCCGACCAAGAAACCCACTACCGGCACGTAACTCCTCCAGATTGTGAAATCAGCTGTCGCCCAAAGTTGAGCTGAGGATGCTACATACGACTATGCTGCAACTCATTTTTAGCCATGTGACCCGGGACAGTCTAAAGGTCACATGCATGTATTCCTCATACGGGTGGAAACTGGCCCCATTTTAAAAACTGATTTACAAAAAGACACAGCAATTTATGGACCTGGTACTTTGCCTTCGTCCTAAAATATTGTGCTTGGAGCCATTACTACAAATGTATAGTGAATGTTAACCCTTTAGATGCTGGGTTTTATTTTTAGAAATACTAGATTTTGACATCTAAA